TACGAGGGAGGGGGAGCGGGGAGGGAGGGGGAAAAATGAGCTGATGCCAGGGGTTTAGGTAGAGAGAAAATGTTTTGAGAATGATGAGGGCAATGAATGTACAAATGTGCTTTATACAGTTGATGTATGTATGGATTGTGATAAGAATTGTATGAGCCTCTAATAAAACGATTCAAAATAAAAATAAATTTAAAAGGAAATGAGTAAAGTATGGAAAAAACAAAATCTTGACAAGATTTTTCACCCAAATGTAACTTTTATCTAAATCATGAAGCTACACAATTTGGTTTTGATCAGATTGCTTTTAGTTAATATACAATGAGAACACTACCTTTTCCCTTTCTAAAGGCCCAGGCCTCGCTTGGGCATGCTGTCCTTCCTTGCGCATCAGCAACGAGGGCTGCCCGGGCCTCCGTCCTTGTCTTAGCCCGTTGTTCTGTAGCAAGTAGATTTTCACAACCCCCAGTCTGCAGGCAGAGGTTCAGGTTTCTAAATTGAAGGATAGCTTGCAACTCATATTGATCTGGCTAGCTATGTCTGACTATGTCACAAGTAGCCAGTCTCTTATTGGTTATAGTTCCCTTCTCTGGACCCGTTTATGGCCCTAATGTAGCGCTGCGATCTTAATTTCCTTGATTTCTCCATACATTGTGTACAAGCGCTGGGTACGAGAGGGCTTCAAAAAGCTCTAGAGAAATTACTTTATTCCATTTCTCTTTAAAGTTTCTTCACCCTTTCAGAGAGCTCTTCTATGGCAATTTCACTTGCTTCTGTCGCCAAAACATTGAATTAAATGTGGCTCCGTATGACTTGCTCAGAATGCCCTTACTTTCCTGGCCCAGGAAATTTAATTTTAATTTCTCGCAGGTTCCCAGGGGTTGATCGAGAACAAGGAGGATTGTGTTAAAGAGGATAAAACGAGGGATTTGGATAGTCCAGAAACGAGACGTAAGAACAATAAGCAATTGATAATAAAAGTCTGATAATGAATTCTTGTATCTTCAAGGACGGAGAAGAGTGACTGCTTCGGCTAGGGTGACCAGGAGACGCCCCGCTGCGGAGGCGGACTCTGAGAGGTGAGCCATGCCTATTGATAATTGGTCTTGCCTTTTTTTTAAATGTCTAGAAGTAGAGAAAATATTGTAGTTTGCCTGTATTTGAATGAGAGAAACTCAGTATATGACAGTGAAAGCTACAAGAGCCTGTCTTGCACATACACATATAGTCTAGAATTCTATAATCAAAAGCATTTCAGTTCTTGTGCCTTGTGGGTTTCCCCCTGTGGTTGGCATGGCTTTTAGTCCGTGGTGGGGTGAGGTGCCGTTGGGTCAGTTCCGACCCCTGAGCACCCTGTGTGCGAAGTGCGGTGCCGTCCTCACAGCAGCTGTGCTTACCCCCTGCTGCAGCCCCCGTGTCAGTTCATCCCGCTGAGGGTCCCTCTTTTTCACTGACCGACTTTCCCAAGCTTGGTGTCCTTTTCTTTTCCAAAATGTGTGAGATGACGTCTCACCGTCTTGGTTTCTAAGGCGTATTCTGGCTGTGCTTTTCCCAAGACAGATTTGTTTGTTCTTCTGGCAGCCCAGAGTGCGTTCAGATACTCTTCCCCAGCTCTGTAATTCCAGGGCATCAGTTCTCCTCGGGGCTTCCCTCACAGGGTACAGCTGTCACATGTGTCTGGAGCGATTGGGAATACCATGGCCAGGGTCGGCTGCACCTTAGTCCTCAAAGTGACGTCTGTGCTCTGACACTCCAGAGAGCTTTGGTGCAACAGCTTTGCCCAAGGCACTCGTTTGAGACTGCCTTCACTGAGGGTCCAAGCAAGACGAAATCCTTGACAACGTTGATTTCCTCTCCGTTTATGATGATGCTATCTATTGGTCCACTTGTGAGGATGTGGGATTTCTTTACACTGATTGAATTGTCATCCACACTGAAGGCCGAAGTCCTTGACCTTCCCTTCATCAGCTGCTTCAAGTCCTTCCTATTTCAGCAAGTAAGCTTGTGTCATCTGCGTATCGCAAGTTGTTCATAACACGCCTTCCTTCAATCCGGTGCCACATTCTTCTGCTTGGAGTCCAAGTTTCCCGGATTATTTGCTCAGCATACAGATTGAATACACTTGGTGAAGGATACTGTGCTGATGCACACCTTTCCCGATTTCAATGCACGTAGTATTCCCTTGATTTCTTCCAATGATTCCCTCTTGGTCCAGATACAAGTTCTGCAGGAGGGTTCTGGATGTCCCATTCTTGCCAATATTATCTGTCATTTGTTATTGTCCACACAGTGGAATTCCTTTGCATAGCCAGTAAAACACAAGCATATGGTATTCATTAATAATTTGTTCTCTCATTTAGGTTTCCATGTAATCTTCTGACATGACTCTGTATGCACAGGGCTCTAAATTTGAGCTGGGATTACAAACTCTTCAATTTCTGTAACATTGTGGTTCTCTAAATGTACAATAGAGCAATTCTGCCTACAATATGAACATTAGAGTGATGTGCATGGTGCAGTATTCGTTTTTAGTTTCTGCTAAAGTTAGAAACTGAAAGCTTATATTGTTTTGCCTTCGTATATGCATTGGTAAACCTGTAGTTCTTGTGTTTTCATGATCGCTTTAGATTTTGTCTTGAATAAATTCAAAGTAATTTGGGGTTTTTTGGGGGTTTTTTTTTTTGGAAACTTGCTGTTCACAGTGTATTGGAATTTATTGCCTAAATCAAGAGAACTGAGACTTGCTTTCACTTCGTAAGTTTCTAAAAGACTCGTGGGTAGTTGTACGGCCATAGACAAGTCTTATTGCAAAAGTGGCTATATTCTTCTTTTATCTTTTTCTGGAAAATACCAACTCGCATATAGATAAAAAGCCATTTTGGCTAGATTTTCCAGGGTTCCTGTTGTTGGATTCAGGATGTTTTGGTTGGGATTTTAGTTTCACGCACCTCCAAGCGCATCAGGTTCACAGTGGCCCTCTGATGATGGGAGCTTTATTTATAAGCAAACTGTAGTCGGGAAGCTTTTGTCAATTGGTGTCTCTTTAATATCTGTCTAGTGATTGTGAAGTTGCTGAACCAGAATCAGAAATGAAGATGAGATTACCGCGGCGAGCCAAAACCGCAGCACTAGAAAAAAGCAAGCTTAATCTCGAACAGTTTCTCAACGAAGACAGAAGTTAAGGGAGGTGATGGAGGTGGAGTTTCTTTTTAAAAATGTCCTTTTTGCGTTTAATAAAGTTACCCTTGTGTCAGAATCAGTACAAGAAGGGCTGGTTTCTTTGTAACACTTGCGGCAGGCAGAAGTGGGTCCACATTGACTTTGTCCTGGACGGAAGCATTGGGCCAGCGCTGCTCAGGGCTGCCTCTGCCCTCAGCGAGCTGTGTGCTTGGGGCTGAAGGGACCCAGAAATCTCATTTGTAAACAAATTTCCTTAGGGAGGTCTTAGGAACTCTCAAGTGTAAAGTCTTGGCAGTATGGAGAACTTCTAAATACAACATACCTAGTAGCTTGCATTGAGAAGCTTATGACGTAGAACCGAGACAGAGGAACATGCCACACACGGTGACTGCTCACAAACTGCCCAGGAAGGAACATATTCTCAGGGAAGAGCGTTTAATAAAATAACTCCAGTGAGATAGAGAGCAGTTCTTGATGAGATGGGGAAATAAGAAGCTTCTCTTGGAAATTCGGAAGGTATTTCATCCCAGCCTGCTTGGCCTCTACTTCCTGGGTCTCTTCAGGGCGAAGGGTTAGCCAGTAAGACCGTATGGTAAAGAGCCCTGGCTTCCAAGCCTGCATTCCTGGCCCCTGGACGAGGCGGGCCCTCGATCCTTCACGGGACGCACGAGTGGAAGGGAGCACACGGGGCCGAACATGGGACCCTGCTCTCCACTTCCCGTCTTTCCATGTGGCAGGTGACCGGACACCGTAGGCCTGTCAGCCTTGTTTGCATCATCGATCCCATGATTCTTTGGTGCCCTTCTAGGTTTTTAGAAAACATTCGCTGAAAATCTGCCAACATTAAAAAAAAAAGTAGATCTAATAGAATGAACGCATCGCCCAGTTCCAACAGTTCACGTTTCGACCATCTGATTTCACGACCGCACACCACAAACACTGTCACCGAGCTCCGGGCCGGTTCCTCTTCCCAAAGCGGACGCAGATAGCAGCGCTGGTTGCCTCACTTCACGGCCGGACGTCGAGTCCTGGGTTGGGGAGATGATGGCACACGTGTGGAGTCGGGCCAAAGCTTTGACGTGGTTCTTTCTGTTGTTTTTTTGGCATCATACGAGAGTGAATACCGTTTACAAATGAAAACGGCTAATGAGCAACGAATGCGACCGGAAGTCGTCTTTACATACTAATTTATGAGTCTTGTTTCTTCATTGTCGATTCCCGTCATCATGTGAAGTTAGGCACTTGTCTGGTTTGGGAAACACCATGTGAAATGAGTCTTCTCCTGCCACGTCCACACTGGTTCTTCCCATCTGGTGATTACCTTTTCTCTGTCATTCAGGAGATGAATGCCCTCATCATGGGTCGAGTTTACTAATCTTTGTGCTTTTTCAAGTTCACGTGCCCAGAGGCTGTGGTGACCTACACTGGAGCTAAAGTGAAGACGGCGAGCTGACTGAGAACCCCATGGCTACATGACACGCAGGCCTGTGCTCCGTAGAACTCCGCGCTCTTATTCCAGGGAGCCCGGGGTCAGTGAGAGAAGCAAGCCTGCTCGTTTAGCTGAACGAAAGGCAACAGCGGCAAACTGCTGCTTCCTCTTCGTGCGGTTGGCTCTGCGTCTTTTCCTGTGCTTTCAATTCCTTGTGTAGGTCTTCTTTTGTGTGATCCCTGTCATTTAAAAAATACTCTACGGGGTCAGGAGGGATAAGGACGGAGAAAGGACACCGACTGTTCTCTGAGGAAAAAGTCTTGGGAAACACACCATCAGGCCAGGAAAGAAGCCATGTTCTGATATGCTGAGCATGTGCCACCATACCAAAGCTTACTTCCTCTGTGGGGAAAAAGGTCCAAGCACCAACCAAGCCTGTAGTGTTCTTGCTACGGAAGTCTTAGCATCACGTAGGCATTGCTGACGCTCTGCTCCGCACGGTTAGGATGAAAGGTAAGAAATAATATTCCGCTTTTGAAAGATGTCCCTTTAAACTATCAGGTAAATGTCTCCACGGCTGTCACACAAAACCCATCGATGTACATCCATTCATGGTTTTTGATTCAAAACCCCACCCCACCGCCAAAGGGGAGGAAAATAACCGAACAGTATTCTCATCTCCGATGCGAAGGCTCAGACTTGCTGGAGAGTGAACATGCAATTGTGCCTGGCTTTCTACAGACTTCCTAGGATTGAAAAATCGAGAGAAAACGGGTCTGCTCGATTGTTCCTACCAATGGAAACATGCTCGACTGAACGATAAATGAGGATGGATTTTCTATACATATATAACTTTGAAAGAGATACTTCCAAGAGTCACCTTTGCCTTTTACCAATTTGCTTCGAGGTAGTTGGTACCCACCTGCTACACACGGTTCATGGGTCAGGCCGTCACCACGAGTCTGTACAATACTAGCATTCTAACTCACATAATGCAGTTATATATTAAAACTTTGTGCACAGAAAACAGGACATGTATGTCTTTAAACGGAGGGGCGTACAAACCTCACAAAATACCATTAAAAAAGAGCAACATCCAAATCCATTTGTACTGTAAAAGTCCACAATGCTCTGGTGCAAAAACATGATGCTTAAAAAGAAAAATAAAAAACATACAAAAGAATGGGAATCAAAATGATTAATGCTAATGACTCCATAGAGACAAGTCACAGGACTCGACATCTTTCCAAGATCAATCGATAAATGCTTGTCGTTCAGCTGAGAGAGTATTGACATACAAAATAAAAGTAGTGCAAGAAGACTGCCATCTATTTCTCTTCGCTTGTGAGATTTTGGTTAAGCACTGTACAGCTCGCTAGAGACGGTGCTGTCAAATTCAGATTCCATTCAATGGGACGGTTAAGGCACATCTTAATGGGGCTCAAAGGGCAACTTGCTGTGCTCCCATCAGACACATTCAGTTTCTCATCAGTTTTCATTTGTAGCACGCTGGAAGAAAAAGGTTAAGGCATTTTAGTTTGACATTTATTTTCAAAGACAAGACTAACCTTGTAAGAGAAAACACAGTCATCGTTTTGTGCGGACCGTTCCACAGTAGAGTACACCGCATTTGTCATCCTGGAAACAAGTGTGTTTGTTTGGCGTCTGCAGTGCCTGCCTTCTGCTGGAGCTGCACGCTGGGCAGAACAATGCCGCGCAGAAGCGGGCACTTCCCAGCTCAGACACTGACCCGGAAACGTCCCCGCAGATGGGCAGTAGACGGTTGTCAGGTGCTGTCGGGTAGAGTCGGTTCTGACTCACAGCAACACAGAGCAACACAAAAGTTCTGCGGCTGCAGCACAGTTGTATAGCCCCTGTGTCAACCATCCATCTCGTGGCGGGTCTTCCGCTCTGTGCTGACCCCGGGTTACAGTAAAGTCTCTTGGTTACAAGTGCCCAATGGACAACTTAGAGTCACCCTTTCACCCTTGGAAAAGATCCAACCAAGCCCACCTCGAACTCTTCACCACAGTCACCTCCACTTGCTGGACCTGCAATTGCAATCCTTGGGGTGTGGAGCCGCCTCTGGCACTAAAAGCCAGCTATATGCCCCTGTTGTCACTTACCTGCGTTCCAAAATTTAAGGGCGCAGGTAGGAGTGGGTCTGGTTCCTAATGCCTGCTTGCGCTTCAGCAAGGGCATTTCCTTGTGAACCATCTGAGCTTGGCAGGCCTCAACCCTCTAACGTCCTCTAACCTACCCGTCTCACCGCCACCTTGAAACACGAAGACATTCGCTTTTATCGAATGTCTGCTAGTGTCTAGGAACGTTCAAAACCATTCTCTCATTTAAATATTTCCTCAGCCAAGCAAAATGGGTATACTTCGCCTAAGATATGACAGAAGTGAGTGTCATCAAAGTACAAACATGAGTCAAAGTGCTAGAGTTGAACCTACGTCTGTTCTCCAAAGCCGTAGGCTAACTAGCTCTGTCGTGAGGTTATGATGATGTTGGGCACCCTTGGGTTGGTTCTGACGCATAACAGCCCCACGTACAGCAGAATGAGACACGGCCTGGGCCCTGGGCCAGCCTCACAGTTGTTCCTACGCTCAACGCCCCACCCCCACCCCCGCCCCATGCCCCAACCCACTGCGATCAAGTGATTCCCACTCACAGCTACGCTACAGAGTTGGCAAGACTAACTGGGAGCAGACAGCCTCATCTTTCTCCCACAGGATGGCTGGTGGGTTTGACCTGTCATCCTTATGGTTAGCAGTCCAATGCCCAACTCAGCGCCACCAGAGAATACACACGGTATCCTGTCTGCATGGTGGAAAGCGGCCAAGGTGTCTGCACTGCCTGCTGCCCCGTCGTCAGAGGAGCACGTGTGGGATCAACAGGAAACTTACTCTAGTTGCCCAACTCTTCTATATTGATGGAAACGTTTGTGGCTCCTTTGGATTCGTATTGGGCTTGGCAGTTCTGGTTTGGTTATACTTGTATCTTATTTTACCAATTCCTGAAGCACAATTCCATCCATTCACAAGTGCTGTTCCCTCCCAGGATGCATTACCCTCCACTCTGCTTAACCAACCTGCCCCAAATCAACTATTTGGATCTCTCAACATATATCTGGCCTTCTAACTCCCTTTTTAGTATTTAGTAAATACATTGCACCTCTCTCCTCTAGATACAGGGTAGTGTAAGTATTCGTTCAATAGCTGCTCAATAAAAGGGATGAGGACACTTGGGAAAATTGCACAATGAAACATCTGGAAGAGTGCTACCCCAGAATCATAGAAACTTGGGAAAAGGGTAGCCAGTGCATCCCACGTGTACACATGCAATTCTTTCCCTAAATACTGACATCCAATTCATATGAAATCACTGCAAAGATGAATTCTTAAGTTTCAGAACTGTTTTCTGGTTAGCAGCTCAAGTGACACTCGACTCTCATGAGCGTGGCTGTACGAGGTCACTCCTGCGCTATCGGAGTGGTCTGTAAGTTTACCCATCTTCCCTAGGAATTAGGGAGGAAACGGGATGCCAGTATTTCAGGGGCGTCTTAGTCAGTACGTGGCAACATCTCAATGCCAGTAGCATTTTGCCAATCCCTCTTGCACCTTCAGCCAACAGTCATTTGCCACAATAAA